TCATTGTGGTGGCACCTGAGCAAGCCTGGGAGAAGGTGTTCTCTGCCTTCAAATTTTGGCCATTGGAAACCAAAATGGTTAAAGGAACATTATGTGTTATTATAAAACATTACAATAAACCCGTTAGACTGGGCACAGCAAACATGTGCCACCTCTGCCTTAGGAGATTTCAGCTTAAAAGTGGGCTGCAGGAGACCCTGGGCTGGGTTCCTGCCCTGGGGCACAGCTCTGCTCTGCTCCCTGTGCTCCTGGGCACTGTCAGTGTGTTCTTCTTGACTGAGAGGTGTATTAGGGCACTGTTCTGCTGGTGCTGCCTGGGGAGGATGGCCATTCCTTGGGGAGTGAGAGAATGGCATCTTTTGGGTTGGAAAATGTTATTCATTGTTTGAAACCCAGGATCTGTGGTACTCTGATACTGCATGATTGATTGTCCTTCTTTGATTGAGAAGTTGGGGTGCATTCGAGTGAGAAAGTGAAAGTGCCCCCCTCTTGCTCAGGGTGTCTCTGACCAGGCGTAGTGAAATGCAGACAGCAAACAGTGGGGGAAAAAGAAAAATGAAAATAAAACTCACTGAGGCCATTTTGAAAATCTTCCAGTAAGCTGAGGGAGTGTGGGCAGCGTGAGGTCAGTCGTCTGTACTTGAAAATACTGGATCCAGTCCTGGTGTCAGTTACAGACATGTAAATCACAGGCACTGCTGCTGGCATGACAGGAGCTGCTGAAAGGCTGCTCCAGCATGGGACCTGCAGGCTTTCTGGCACAGACATGCTGATTCCCCTCATTCCTTAGCCACCCTTTTTTTCTAGCTGTCCTTGGGCATTTAAAATTTAACAGCAGTGCAGCATGGCTGGTCCTGCTTTTGGGTTGGTTCCTGACCGTCGTGGCCCAGTGGCTCCAGCTCAGGGTGGCTCCTGGCTTGTGGGATGCCATAGGTAGGGCTGTCTCACAGCTTCGTTCACTGCTGTTTAGCTCTGTTCTGCTCCAAATGCTCTTTTCATTTCCTTTAATACAGCAATCTCTGGGGTAGCTGGATGCCATCCCTTCAGTGGAAGTTGGATCCCATCCCTTCTGTGCTGAAGTGTTCTCTTTTCCCCCCTGTTCTCCTAACTCATTTTCCCCCTCTTGTTTTAGTCACGTCTAATGAATACCAGAACAAACCTGAAAATCAGGTGGGACTGCAGTGACAAAAATATGCATCCTGGTCCCAAAGCCTGCTGTGCACTGCTGGAGGACCTTGGGGCTCCCTTTGGGGCAATGCTTTTAGCACCAGGCTCTGCATCCTGCAATACATAGGGGCTTCCAGGGAGTTTGCTCTCTTATGGGAACTTTTTCCCCACCCAAGCTGACGGTCTGTGCTGTGGTCAGGATCAGCTTTCCTCCAGGACGAGAGCTGGACCAGGAGCTCGGAAGTGATAAGCCCCATTATAGCTAATTTTGACACATGGGGTTGTAGTGGGATTGGAAGCAGCTCTGTCCCGAGTGCTATCTAGGAGGGGTGTGTGCTTCCTTGCAGACTGAGACCATTCACAGAGTCACTGCTTTTCACCAGCACAGGATCTGACACCCCAAAAGGCAGCAGCCAGGCTGTTTGTGTTGGTGACTCCCTGAGCAGGTGCTGTGCTGGCAGCCGAGCAGGGGAAACACGTCCCCAGCTTTTGTTGTCTCGTGTGATCTTTTATTAGATAACTTCAGCAGTGTACTGTTGAATCGAGCAGTTTAATTTTAATCCATGAAACCTGAGAAGCATAGATGCTAATGCAGAAAACTGTTAAGGCCAGATCCTGCACGTGTCACTGTCCCAGCATAGAAAGATGAGTGCCTGTCTAGGTATGGCTGTGTTCAGATGTATAGCTACCAATGCATATAAGCTGAATTTTAAGTCAGAGTTGGACTCCAGATTGAGGTTTATGTGAAAGGGATCTGATTTTTCCAATGTATGAGAATGTGGAGATCTCAGACAGCTCCCTCAGTGCTTGCAGTGGCCAGAGTGCCTGAGGGTCAGGGCTCTGGCAGTGGAGGAGATAACGTGAGAATTCTGAGTTTGGGAACTTTGGCCAGCAAATAACACATATATTGGTACAGAATGGGAAAGACATAAAAAGACATATGTCAGAACAGGGCAGGCTTTTAAGTGGTTTTCATTTAAAGTGAAAAGGTCAGATTGAATGAGGTTGGCATCTGGGGAACTGTTCGTGCACCTGCCAATCAAAGCGGGGGAACCCATGTCAGTTCATGCTGATGGGTGACTGGCTGAGAGCTTGTCTGTGTTTAAAAATTGGTGACTGGAACAGTTAAAATGACAATTTTCCTTGTGGCTGTCAGGTTGAGCCATCTGCTTTGTGAAGGAATGGAACAAAGGATCCCAGCACGAGGCTGCTTTATCCCACTTCAACTGGTGTTTGCACTTGGGCTTCAACAAGTACAGCTATGCTGATTTAAAATGTAATAATAGTAATAAATAGGCTCTAAATATTGGTAACACTTTCAAGTGTAAAGGAGATCAAAAGTGAGTGCAGCTTTTGAGTAGTCAGAAAAACAGATGTCATTCAAAACAGGCTGTTCTGGGAGAAGTGTAATTAGCTGAAGTCATTTTCACAGGTAGATTTTTCATTTATAGGGACTGTGGTGTCTGGTTACTTCCATTTCTACGTGGCCACTGTGGAGTTATGTTAGGGATGCCTGTTTGTCTGAAAGTGCTGACTTCTGCTCTTTGAAACTTGGAGCTATTGCAGAGATTTTTCCACTGACCATTCCTGAAAAATCTGAACAATCTAAGAAAACTCAAGCCATAACACAGGACTGATGCTTAAATTCAGGCGTTGTAAACTACTGGTTTTAGATTTAAATCTGCAAACAGAAAAGGTTGCTTTCTGTACTTGTGTGTTAAGTTCATATTTATTTTTTTCTTGAGAAATTGAGTCTTACTGTCAGTGATACAGCATCACTGTTGTCAGCCAGTGAGTGAATGAACTGCTTCTGATCATTTTGTCTTTAATGGAGTAGTCTGATAGACTGGCTTGGGTGGGTATTGCTGTGACCAGTCAGGCTGTCCCTGTCCTGCTCACCTGTGAATGTGCTGCCAGGATGGAGTGCCTGAGTGCCTGCCTGGGCATCCACGGGATGCTGGGCCCCACTTGCTGCTGGGAGGGTGGGTTCATAGCAACTTGTCAGCTGGGTGCCTCAAGGAGGGTATGTGGTGTCCTGTTCACCTTGCTATAGGAAGCCAGTTGCAGGTGACAGGGACAGCTGATGTGGGAAGCAGAGCCAGGAAGATGCAGTTCAATTGGCCAAATCCTATCACTGATCTTATAAACATTTTGTAAGTTAAACCTGGTGAGAGACAATCCTGAACGAAGATTTTTTTAAACACAAGTTGGGTCCCAAGAAGTATTGTCTTACCTGGAGCTCCTGGAAGGGTTGTTGTAAGTTGAACTGAAATAGTCTTGGAATCAGAGGGTAGTGTTGTTGTCTTCTGCCTTTTTTTTTTTTTTTGCAGATAAGACTGAAGGGCATTTTGCCAGGAGCCTGTGGGAAGGACCTAAATTGTATGTAACTCTACATCATTTTAAAATGAAAAGTAAACATGCACAACCATAATATTTGCTTGTTCTTGTCTCCTCGTTGATGGATGGAGAGAAATTGCTCTTTGGCTGAGTTCATCAGCAATAAACCTCTGCAGTTACTCATCTTCATCCCTGCAGTGAGAGGGAGAGGCCATTGGAATTTCCAGTTGATTTTATTCTCAAAACACCTTAGGGAAGCTCTGATGGTCCTGGGGACTTTCAAACCTGACTGTCCCTGTGGTGAATCAGGGCTGGTGCCAGCACGGGGACCATGGGACTGAGCTGGGTCAGAATGAAGCTCAGTGTGCTTTTGTGCTGTTGGCACAATGGACATGTGCCTCTGCTTGGGAGAGGCAAAAGCCCTGCCAGTCTTCTTGCTGTTGTAGCCTCAGACATTGCATGGGGGACAAGGGGTGTTGAAAGAGCAGGAAGCCCTTCTCACTGTGTGACGGGGAAGAGGGTCTTGGACCATGAGCCACCAACACATTTTGCTCCTTCTTTGTTGTAGATTTGTGGGCTCACATGCACCATTGTGAAGAGCACAAGTACAACAAACAAGTCTGAACTGAGCTTTTCCGTAGTGAAGCAGCAAATAGCAGAAGCTTTCTCTGCTGAGCTGTGGTGACAAGCTTGTGCTTGTCATGGGCAGAGATAGGGCTTTAGAGTGACCAGGATGTGGCTGGGATGGGATGCTGGCCAGGGGCTGATGGGGACAGGAAAGGAGTGTGTGCTTCAGATGCTGCTGGTCTCTGTAGGATGCACCCTGACATGTGTCATGGCATGTCACATGGTGGCCATGTGGCCTGGTTGTCCCCTCTGCTCTAACTTCATAATCTGCAGAAGGGGAAAGCACAACATTGAGCAGCTCACATCAAGAGAAGGTGGTGTCTGCTTCTCAGCTTCAGGAAAGGGTGAGATGGTCCCCACTGGGAATTGTACAGAGCTCCAGAGAGAAAAGGCTGTGCTGAGGGGGAGGGCTGCTGGTGTAGCTCTGCTCACAGTAATGGTAACTCCATGAGCTTCAAAATGCCTTAAATGGCGCCTTTTAGCTCCCTTACTCTGCCCAAGGCCAGAGATGAGTGATGGTTCACCCTGTACTCTTATTTTATGCCTCATTTGGCATCTCCTTATCCCTTCCCCTTCTCAATGGCATTAGGAGCAGTAAAGGAGCGGTGACTTGAGGAGTTGTGAGTTGGTGCCCAGACTCTGGCAGCTGACATTTCTGGTCATTGCTGGTCAGTGGCCCAGTTCAGGGTAGTGGGTCTTGCTGTTGGAGATGCTGAAAGGAGTCCAGGAGTATGGGCATTTCTACTTGAGAAAGCTGGGAAGGAAAATGCTGCATTTCCCAGAAATTGTGTGGGTTAAACTGCTGGCTTTGAAGACAGCGTGTTGGGAAGCCCATCCAGTGCGGATTACTCAAGTCTCTCTCTTTTCAGGGCTGGGAAAGAAACCCAAAGTCGTGAGTCTGGTGGAGCCCTGCGTGTTTCCAAACTCCCTGCTCTGAGTTCATCCCACCAGTAAGGCTGTGCAGTGTGAGAGCTGGTATGTAAACACAATTCACAGGCACAAGGGACAAGAAGGATGTCAGGCTTTTCTGACAGTGACACCTTGTTCAAGGCTCTCGAAGTTTGGAGGGAGAGTGGGATTACTGGAAAATACAAGACAAACTGATGGTTCCCTGGTGGTGCTTACACACAGAGGCTTTGGTGGGGAGGAGCTCAGCACTAAGAGGCTGTGAGTGTCCAGAAGTCATCCAAGGCTGTGGTGCTGAGGCTTTAGACACGCTCTGTGGAGAGATGTGTGGTGTCATAGCACGCACAGAGAGGCAACGCGGGGGTACTGACAAATGCACACACCAGAAATGCATACACACACACACAGACACAGGCTGTACAAGTGTAGGCACATGGAAACAAAGATGGCAATGCATATATAGTATATACTATACAGTGGCATATGAGAGCTTGGGGGTGTATATACCAAATGTCTGTATATACTATATATGGCGATTAAAGAATGCATATGCATTCATGTTCTCTTTTTTTCTTTCTGTCTCTTCTGTCTTTCTGTGGAGCTGTTGCAAAACTACCAGATTCAACCTCCTGGGGAGCCTTTCTGGCCAAGGTTTTACAAGCCAGCACCTGCTTTGCCTGCCTGACTTCTTTCTATATTTATTCCCCTGCACCCGGTTTTTGCCTTTGCCTGTGGAGCTGTCACAAACATTTGTGCTGGCTTTTGACTGCACAGGACTTCAGCTTGCAAGTCCTAAACCTGCCTTTGTGCATGGTAGAGGAGCAGGCGTTTTTGTGCATGGTTGTGCATCTGTGTGTCTGAGCATCCCCGGTCCTTGCTGTCTGTGTTACATGGCCTGTGTCCCTGTCATTCTGCAGCAGTCCCTCTGTTCTCTGCCTCTTCAAGATGATTTTATGAATCAAATATTCTCAGTCATCCTGCTTATGTAATTTGTAATTTTTCATTTAAATTAGCCACCCCTGACCCAGTGACTGCTTTATAATGATCTGTACTGCTGTGCAGAAGGCTTAAGTCAGGTTTTACTCCCAGGCCCCCAAGGTTTCACTTCCCAAGCTTACCCCTGTGACAAGGAGGAGGATTTGTGTTGCCATGTAGCAGGGAACTCCTGGTTAGGCTGTGGTTGGATGTGGATGTGTCCATCCCTCTGGTTTCCTTCCTGTGTGTTGTTTGGGGTGGAAGGTGTTCTGAAACAGTCACTGAACACAGGTGCTTAGGTGCCTCTGTTTAAAGTGAGCACAGTAGCAAGGGAGAAAGTATAAAGCTATTTCAGCTGGGAAAAGGAGGGGGAGATCCTAGTGCTGTCCTGGGGAAAGTCAAGGTGTGGGAGTAGCCATAGTGTGGGTCTCCATCAACAAGTGCAGCCTGAGGAGCCATGTGCTTGTTCCTGGTTTGATGGGTATGACTTGCACATGCTGAAAAGCAGTGTTGGGCTGCTTGCCAGGCACTGGGGAGTGGCTTGTCCTCTGCTCAGGCCCCTGTGCTCCCACCCATTCTTAACAGCTCTCTTCACTGCTGAAATGGGAGTACCTCTAAGGTCACAAAAGCGTTAGTCCCAGGTTTCAACCCCAAGAGCCATAAAACGTACCCTGCCTGACCCCTCTTCAAAGGCAAAGGCAGTGTGAGCAGCCCTCACTCCCCTGGGTTTCGTGTCCCTGTCCCCACCATGTGTGCCACTGCAGCCTGCATTCCTCTCCCATTCTGTAAGCTCTCTGCCTCTCGTGCTGACACAGCTAATATTTCTCTGCTGGCAGGGCAGGCAAGGTGGTGGCGTTTAACTCTTAGGGAGAACAGCTTTGGTGGGACACCAGAACTGTAAGGGCTGCTGTGTCTCTGTGATGGGGTTTTTGCTCTTCCAGGTGTTCCCCATCCCTTTTCTGCTGGAAAACTTGAATCAGAGTTGGTAAAGCCTGCACAAACCTGACACTTTTTACATTGCTTTTGTGAGTATCTCCTGTTTCTGACCATGGAGAAATCTCCAGGTGACCCTGCTGCTGGTTGGAGCACACAGCTCCTGTGGGGGGTTTTAGTGGGCTTTTGGAAAAAATAATTAATCAGCTACCCATAGAGAGCTAGTCCCAGCCTGCAATGCATTGAGGTTGTCCTGGAGTACCATATAGTGCCACTTGGACTGTTGACTCTTTAAAGCTGCCCTTATGACCACCAGTGTAATGAACGTGTGCTGGTGCTGCCTGGCAAGGTTGATTTTTTTGCAGCGGTAGCGATGGATCACTGGGTTAAATGTGGGTGTATTCTAAAAGGCAGAGAACTTTGTTACCTTTTAAAGCAATGGTTTAAATGTTTTCTGTCACCTGTGGGTGCTAAACTCTTGTTGCCACAGTCCCAGACCACTGCTCAGTTCCTGGAGGTAATTGCAGAGTCTCTGTCACTGCAGGATTTCGGCTCCTCCTGAAGCCTGTGCCTCAGTACCAGTGAAAGCCAGATGTACTGTAATGTCGCTTTTTTACAGTTTGTTTTGGCCATACATGGGCAGAGTAAGCTCTGGAATTCCTTCCCTATAAATTCAATAGCATCTTGTGGGTGGTGCTGGGGAATCACTCTGGTCTGGTTGGATCGCCTTGCCTCGGCAGCCTGTTTGCCTTGAAAATGTCCTGCTGTGCACATTCCTGAGAGGCTGCCTGCCCCTGGAGCCATGGCTGCAGCTACCAGGAGGCTGCTGGCCCATGCTGGCAGACAGAGTCAGCTCTTGCTGCCTGCAGGTCAGCCTTTGCTGCTGGGGACTGATGCTTGAGGCAGTGCTGGCACGGGGATGTTGCTCTGGTGTGCATGCAGGCTCTGCAGGGATGGTTATGCCCTCTAAGAAAACTGCCTGTTAAATTTGTGTGAGCATTGACATTCAAGTCCCTTTTCCAGGGGTAGGGAGCCTTGGTGCTCCCCAATTCTCACCTGACATGGGATACAGTGATGTGTGTCCTAGGAGGCATTAATGGGTGCTGGCATCCTGGGATTCCTTGTACCTGCAGGGATCTTGTCTTGTCCTTCAGTTTGTGCCTTTCTGCGGTGCTAGCTTTTGCTTTTATGGTTTTTTCCCATAATGCCAGTTCAAGTACATGCTCTTTATGAAGCACTAGCTTGATGAGCCAGGTCAGGGGAGATTTCCCTGTGCCAGGTGAGCAGCCAGTGTGGGATGTGGTGTGACTGATAGTTGAGCCTGCCTTTTCTGGGCCAAGCTGATCTTGCTATAACCACAGTCTGAATCTGCCTATTTGCCTTCACACAACACTCTAAAAAGCAGTTCTAGGAGGTTTGCTGCTGGTGACTTGAGGTGTGAAAGAGAGATTTGTTGCAGGGGCTGAGCAGCAACAACTTCTGGAGTTGCTCCCATTGAATCTTTCTGTGCATCCCTAGTAGGGGACACAGATGCAGTGTCACCCATCATGCCAGGAGCCTCTGAAGCACAGTTGGAGGTGATTATGTGTGGCCCCATGTCCAGGCTCTGTGTAGGTCAGCAAAGGCAATGTGCTCAGCTCATGCTTCAGAGGGGCAAGTCATCCCTGTGCCAAAGCCAGGGAGAGAAGGGTGATTTTTTTTTTTTTGACATCCTTTGGAGTTTTGATCTCCATATTTGGAAATGTTTACCCATTGCTCTGATCTATTGCAAGGGAGGGGAGGTGACTCAGGGTCTGGTGGAAGCAGGATTTGAATTCCTGTAGTAAGGTTTTTTTTTTTTTTAATCCCCCCCCTTTCTTGTTTTGGAAGCTTGTTGTGGTCAGTTTTCAGTTCTCTCTTGCTCCTGGACCTTGTTCCAAATTTGATGTGCTCGAGAGGGGAAGCATGTTAGCAAAGGAGCTTGCCTGAATGCTGGTAAGTGCATCATTGCTGTTATAGCAAGCAACTTGGGATTTTTTTTTTGTTGTTTTGTTTAGTCAGATGTATTGCATCAAAGTGTGTGCATTGCTGGTGGATGCAGGCATGTGGATCAACAGCAAGGGATCCAATGAAACCTTCTGTAGCAGGGAGAGTTGGCTTAGTGGATTGGTCTCAAAGGCAAAATGTTTCTTCAGGAATAGGTATAAAGATAATTTAAGCCAGCTCCCATTCAGTCACGCTTTTCCTTTTAGTTTCACTTGTTAGTGCAGCAAGGCAGCAGAGCACTATAGGGTAATGGAGGATATATTCATGTGGTCAGCAAGGAAAACACAGCTTATGTATGATTTCTGTCTCTTAAGAGTGTGTGATAAAAGGCTGTATAACACATGGGTATATTTCTCTCAGTTGTTAATATTTAACTCTGTTCTCTTAGTTGGAGTTTAGCTACTGTAACTGGATAAGCTTTGAGTGTCTGTTTTTTTCCTATTGTTCTGTATTTTTCCTTAGTGGTAAGCTTGTAATCTGTCGGATATTGTAGCTGGCTGCTTCTTTTTTCTTTCTTTCTTTTTTTTTTTTTTTTTTTTTTTTTTTTTACCTTCTCCCCTCCTCCTGCTCTTTCCTTTCTATTTCCTGAAAGGAAGCTGCAGTTCATCCAGGCAGTTAGGGGTGTGGGGGGAACCTGGAAGATGCTCTGCTTCCTGTTTTATTCATGGCAGCTAAAACCATGCTGTGGAATCTGGAGCAGAGATCCACCATCCTGCATTCCTCTTGTCATTTGGAGCATGTAACATGTACAGAGTGCTTTTAACACTGCTCTAGGGGTCATGGAGCAGCCAGTCCTGTGTCTCAAATGGGACGCACTGGACTTCATTCTTTTACTTTGGAAGGGGCTTTGGTGAAAACCCTTTTAAAGTTACCAGTGCTGGGTAGTAATCCTTGTATCTTTTCAGCTAACTGGTATTTTTAGGCTTCTTCAGACCTATTGCTTCATACTCTCCATCTTAAATTTAAGACCTTTTTTGGAAAGGTAAACGACTTGTCGATTTTAATTTGTCCTTTTAAATAAGCTTAATACTGCTTGGTTTTTCCAGAGATGTGGATTTGCAGAAGGTCCTTGAGGTACAAGACTGTCTGGATTGTCTTGAACAGGGAAAGATAGTTAACATGAGGGTGGATGTGTGATAGAAAACACTCGGCCACAAAAAGTGGTGCAAGACTGCTAGAGCCTTTTCTGTGGCTGAGACATGCTGGGGTTTGTAGAGTATTTTAATCTTTGTTGTTTCAAAAGGCTGATTGGATTACTGCAGCTTTTGGGGTCAGGGCCTGGCTGGGCTGAGCTGCTGTCCTAAAGAGTGCCCAGCCTGAATGGGCAGAGGAGGTGATGGCTCAGGAAACAGGGCCCTGGGGACGTGTATGGAACTGTCACAGCACCTGAAACCTTGGCCCAAGGATTCCCCCAGCAGACACTCATCCTCTGTCGTGCATGGTGGTGCCAAGCCGTGGAATTGTGGCAGTGGGACCAAGGTCTGTGTTGCTCCTTGTGCGCTGTGCTTTGCTCTGTGTGTGCACACGTGCCCCTGTGCGATGGCCGTGCTTCTGGTGGCACGTGGATGTGGCACATCCAGGCTTCACCAGCTGCCTGTGGCTGAGCTTGGAGTTTTGGGAACAGCACGGTGGGACTGGAAATGATGATGTTCTGTTCCCCTCGCAGTTTCTTCCCTTTCCTGCTCACCAGGACGTGCTGTTTGTTGGAAGACAAGGAT